TTATTAAATTTAACAAAGAATGAGAATAACGGGATCTTAAACATTTTTACATAGATTTGAGTATATTCGACTAAATCGAACACTTTATTGGTAACACTTTTATAGAAAATCGGCGACACAGAAAGAGAAAGAAAATAGCTAGAAATAAAATCTAATCTTTGCATGATTCTCTCTCTGGATAATTTAACCTTGTCAAATAATTTGAACAGTAGGGTCAATCTTCTATTGAGTCAGATAAATGCTTTCAACGTTTGTCGGTGTAATTGTTAGATAGGAATATAGATGAGTTTTATGTCTGTGACTATACATAGCTAATATAGAGATAATTATTTTGTCCCCTTGAGAATAAAACGATTGTATAAATTATTTTTAATACATAGTTCAACTGATATTCTTTTGTCTATTTGCTTTTTTATTCTGTCTCCTCTAGCCTTATTTATAAAGACAATATGTTCATATTTTTATTTTGAAACAAAAGAGTCTCTAATAAAGACAGTAAAGAAAAATTTTTTTAGTTTTTTTTTTTTTTTTCTTCTAAGAATTTTCTAGACATTTCTGTTTTTAAAAATTACTGACTTTCCAATACAGAGAAAGAGAGAGTAAATAATTTTCTTCTTATTCGAGTTGATACCTGTACGATGAATCGGAAATAATTTATTAACAAAAAAGAAAAAGGTATTTGTATCGTTATTATTATTATTGTTGACACAAGTCTTACGGTAAAGTACTACTACTACCATCATACTTTTTAGAAGAAAAAAAAAAAAAAAAGCAGGAAATTAATAATGAATATAAAGCAATAAAAATTAATTATGTCAGAAATTTCCTTCGGTTTTTTTTTTTCTTCTTTTTTCTAAAAGGAAAAGAAAAAGAGAGAAATATGCCATTTTAATTTCAAGAGTAGATATTTTTTAAGATGGAATAAAATAAACTTGACAGAGTCATGCAATAAAGAAAAAGAAAGAGTGCTATTAAAGAAAGAAAAATGTTCAAACTTTAGTTATAGATGTGTCGACACTTCAAAGATCTTTATGTAATTAAAATTTCTCTTGGATTAAATGATATGCGAATTTCATTGTTTGACATCATCAAAGTATCCGTCAAACATAAGTACTATTTACTTTTTATATTTTTTTTCTAAATTTTTTTTGTTTTTTACCGTAAAAATTTAATCTAACAGAGAAGAATATTAATAGTAAATAAGCTAACTAATCTTTTTATTTTAGATTTATTCAATGTATGGACTGTAGTACTGAACATTTAATCAATCAATCAATCAATGTATCTATGACATGCTAATATTTTCTATCTATTTGATATTGGTATATGCTCATATGTTATTAACAACAGAATATAATATTTTTGCTAGTAATGGAATGATAATAACAAAATTTAATTATCAAAATGATTTAGAACCACGTGTATTTGATTATATACCGTCCGATTGTTATGAATGTTTGAGTTATCGTGATATTATTATTACACAATTAAACGATATACCAATAAATTCATTTGAAAAATTTCATTTTGGACCATCTGATACTTATTTATTTTTAAATGGACAATTAAAATTATCATTAAAATCATTTGCATTTAATAATTGTATTATTAATAAACCTAATCATACTATGTTTATTACAATGTCAGCTCCAAATTCATGGTTAAATATTACAAATGAAACATTTAATGGATTAGATATTCGATCATATTCAACATTAAAATTAATAATTAAATATTTTTATGGTGTTACATTTTATCCTTATTCACTTAATGGAATTAAAATGGGAAAACAATCAAAATTAATTATTGAAATATCATCTATTACACAAGTACATTTTATGGCTAATATTTTTGGAAATAATTCAATATCATCAGCATTTAATTCATCATATGAAATACATCTTCTACGTATAGAAACCGTTTTATTTAATGAAAATAGTTTTTCATTTATTCAATTATATGATTATCAAACATTTACAATTAATTTAGAATTAATTTCAATATTAAATTTTCAAAAATATTCATTTTCTAATTTAATATTAAATTCATATTCATCATTTAATATTTATTCTATATTTATTACTAGATTTTCAATTGATTCGTATGCTTTTTCTAATATTATTCTTAATACATATTCAAATTATAATTTAACAGTAAAAATTCTTGGTAAGAAATAAATAATCTAGTATATATTCTAAATTTTTATCTAAATTGAATATTATTTCTATTTTTTTTAAGGTACATGTATATGTTTAACATCTTATTCATTTTCAAATTTAATATTAAAACCATTTTCAACATTTTATATGGCATTTAATAATGTTCGTGGTTTATCATTATTTTCTTATGCATTTTTTAATTTACAATTAAATATAAATTCAAAATTAATTATCGATTCTAATAATCCAGTTAACAATCCAAATCCGATTATTAATATTGCTTCGAATACATTTATAAATAATAATGATATGATATTATCTAAAAATGAGGGAATGATTTATTTTAATTTTTATCATGTAATATTAAATCGGTATGATATTAATTCATTACGAATGGATATTATTTATACAATTAATTTAATAGATATTGGATTCTTAGATTTAAGTAATTTAACTACAATCGTATATCAAATGAAACAATTAACTATTTTATTTAATGGTGTTAGATATGTTAAATGGCCGTTAGTACAAATATCATTAAATCAAAATTCATTTTTTAACAGGTAAAATATTCATATTTGAATTGAAAATACTTTACGTTCTCTTTTCTATTCAACTTTCTGTTACAAATAATTGATTCTCGATTTTTTGTTTTAGAGAACAAAGCGAGATAAATAAAGTACAATATCATCGTACATCGACAAATGATCAAACAGTTAAATTTCATTTTATGTATGTTTCAAATCAGAGTTGTGTTCTTTATAATGCTCCAATAGATATTCTATGGTATTTTCCATCAAATTCATCGTGCAATTGTCCACTGTTATTTGCCTATAAAAATGGTAGATTAGATGGTCAAATAATTGATTGTATTCGAAAACATAGTGGAAAAGAGAGTGCATTAGCCATAAATGAATGTAAATTTGATCAAATAAAAGAATTTTGTTCCGAAATATTTGACTTGTTTAATCAGGCAACAAAACAGTATAGTGACAATGATCAGAATAATTCAACCACAACAAAACAATTTACTCCATCACTATGGGAATACTCTAAAGCACGACAAACACAACAAAAATGGATGGATAAAGATTTATCTAACACATATTTAAATCCCGTTACTCTTCGACAAATAGTTGATATAAATTATTTAAAATGTAATATGAACTTTTCGTATACGTCACCAATTATTATACGAACAAAATTAGGTAATTTAGGACTTGTTATTGGAATTATCATTGGTATATTCGTTTTATTATTAATTATTGTTATGGCACTATTAAACGGTGTACAGTATAAAATGCGTGAATACGATCCCGAGTGGACTTATCGACGAAATATATCATGGACATCATTAAGACGAACATTATCACAAACATCATTACGACGATCTCGACGAGATTTAAGAATTACTGGAGTTACAAGTAATGAATCTGATATAAATGATAGAAGAATTTCAAGATCGGATAATCAACTAGATCGTCTACAATATCATGATACTGAACAGTCTCAACTATTTGAGATTCAAAACTGTCAACGTTCGCATAGAAATAGAACAGTGAGAAACGAAATATTAGACGATGATGAAACAGAAGTTACATGTGAACCATCAGATATCGATAACAAAAGAACGTTAAAGCGTTAAAATCAATTTCAATTTGCATTTCATTATTCGTGATATTTTTAGACTTTTTTTTTTATGTAAAAAAACAAAAGATTTTTATGAGAGTATAAATATTCTGCTAGATGAAGAAAAAAAGAAAACAAATAATCTGTGATTAAAATTGAATTTTTTGAATTGTCATTTTTATTATTAGTGGATAATCAATACAAATATTATTATTTTCGCTTAGTCATTATGTGCAATTGTTCAACACTCAAACCTTCTTCTAGTCTTCTAGTGTAACATTCTTAAAGTTTATAGTTTAATCTCTCTACCATGATGACTTAACTTTTTTATTGAAAACAAAATATATAGATTTGCATATATCCTTTACTCTGCATACTGTTTGCTTACTGTGTCCATTAACTATCACATCAAAATAAGAACAAAATTAAAGAGCAAAGAGTAAAAAATATATTAAACTTTGAAACTTCGTTAGTTACTCGATCGATATTCTTCTATTTTACATTATATAAAGACATGTCGGCCAACAACACTGCATACAACGATACTTTGACGTCGAAATCGTGGGATGAAATGAACGTGGATGGAGATTGCTGTGAAGATTGTTCAGTCCTATCGAATTTATTCAGTATATTTGGTTTATTATGTTGTTGTTCTATCATCTCCTGTTGCAATGAATGAGATTGTGCTTTTTAATAATTTATTTCTGCTACGTAGTGTTAAATATCGAAGATTTTACGAAAACTTTCATATTACTGTACGTTCTTTACTAATTTTCTCTAACATTCTGGATTTTATTAATAAAAAAACAAATTTTGTTATTTACCTTATATTTATCATTTAGTACTTCTCCACGTGTACTAGTCGTCATTTTATGTTTATATTGTTGTTTTCGAATATCTATCATATATAAAATGTTCAGAAACACTACAGAAGAAGGCAATAGTCTTTATCTACTTTAGGGTTAAACTTCTACCATTATCGTAAGTTATACATGCTATTCCGAATATTTTTATGATAATCATTGTATAAAAGTATTCTACAAAGATTTTATGCTTATAGTTCTGATCGACAATATTGTACTACATTTACATCAGAAGGAACAAGAAAATATTTATTTATTATTTCGTCTCTCTAAAAAGAGAAATATTTTTTAAATGAAATTATATCGAGAGATTTTTGTTCCATCAAGTACTAGAAATAATTGAGTTTTATTGAACTCTTTGTACAAATTAGTGCCTCATGAGAAAACATAAAAAAAATTTATCATCTATAGAGAAATATATTGAAAGTCTGATACATTTTAAGAACGTAACTAAAAACAAAACAACGTTACAACAGCTAAAAGATGGTAAAAAAATCAAAAACATTGAATAGCAGACATGAACACTTCTAATATTGGTTATACGGTAACATAATACTATTTCCTTAGTTCCAGACACTAACATTTAAAAAACAAAAAATTGGAGACATTATGTTTTAAATGTTTCAATTTATGTAAATAGTATTTGGTTCAAGGTTATTCAAACGAAGGTTAGTGGAGAACATAAGCGAGAGAACTGTCGTATTACGATATTCAGTATTACATATTTATGTATCTTCGTTAAATGTTGTATATCAAAAATAGATCAATAGAGAGTGAAGAGAAAAAAAAAGAGATAATATCTCGTATATTGATACCTTAGTTAGGTACAAAAGCCTACTAATCAGAATTCGAAGGAGCACAGGTCAGTACTTCTATACGAGAAGCAGCGACATTATATATCTATATATATATGAAGACAAATCGTTTCGTATATCCTTGAAAAGATAGTTTTGTGGAGAATAGTAGTTATGTTAAGTCGCAAGGTATAGCTGATAAAACGTTTGATATAATATATTTCAAGACGAATGATAGATTTATCAGATGAAAAAAAAATTTTTTTAACGTTTTCTTTCAAAGATAATGTTAAATGAAGAGAAGGTAATGTTCAGAGACACACATTTCTTCTGATAAAAATTCAAGTCTAGAATGTCCACTCATAAACAACAGTAAAGACCTACATCGACTAGTAGTCAAGAGTATGCGAACATATCTGGTAAACTAACTCTGAGATTGATTCACGGTTTAAGGTGAACAATTTAAATATAGATAATAAGATGAAGACCACCTTTTTTTTTGTTTTAAAAATACACATATTTTCTTGAGACGTTTCGTCTTTATCGAAAAGACATCATCAGTCAGATGGCTACAAAAATTATTCCAGCATATAGCAGAAAAGAAATTACGTTCAAATTTAGAGAATGGAACAAAAATCTAAATTCCTTCCTTCTATTGTTATGTATAATGACTAATAAAAAAATATTCAAAACAAAGCTTTTTTGATATCAGATGCCTCTTTTCCTTTTCTTTCTGTGAATATCCATCAGTAAGCTCTCTTTAATCATTCTTTTGACTGTATTAGATTCATGAGCAAGAATTTCAGGACACCATCTAGTTCGATGTCTATTCTCAAGACAATGTATCGCTATTCTTGAGAAACGTTTTCCGTCTATATGTTCTTCTTTACGTTTATCAGCTCCTCTCGTTGTCTGTCCAGTGTAACTACTAGTACATCCACAGCAATTATATTTGTAAATAATGCTTTTGGCATTTGCCGAAAACTACGGTCAAACACTGATGAAACACTGATGTCCAGCTTTAAATCCGAAAGTCATAATCTTTAATGGATGAGTGTTTTTAGTTGACTAGCTAACACTAATGCGTATAATCCATAATACGGTAATGAGATGTAGTAACGTTTAACATTAGATACTAATCGAGGTTTTTGCATGGACTTATTAAATCGAACACCATAATAATGTTTAAAATGTTGTAAAGTTACTACGCAAATGATAAAACTGATCCAAAAGTGAAAACTATTGTGATTTTGCACGTGTACACGTAGATAACATTATGTTTGTTTTTAAAAAACAGGTATATACAACAGCATAAAATAAATCTTACCTAGAAAGACATCCAATATGAGCAAGTGTTTTGTTAATAACATTACCCTCCATTGTGTTTGTGTCTTTAAATGTAATATGATATTGAACTATTTGCAAGTTATCTAAACTTTATTCTTTTGTTAAATAAATACAACTTACTAGAGTTACTGATTACTAATAGAATAAAACGTTTGTAAATAATATTTACAGTTGATATGCTATTTGATTTAGTTAAATATATTTAATTTTTATTTTTTTGCCTAGAAACATGCTGAAATACATATCTTACAAAATATTAGACATAAGTGAGTGATCAAAATATTACTTACTCATCCAGAAATTAATAATGGCTAGTTATAGTTTTTTGAGAAAAGCTAAACTTTTAACAAAGGTCATGACTTCATATGTAACAACGCTCAAGTTATTTACCATACATTACACCCTTTTGTTATTTTAAATAAGACATTCTTTAAATTTTATTAGAAGAAATTGTGTTTGAAGCATTTGTGTCAAACAGTGCAGTGTCACGATTATAAAATTTCAATACACTCTACTATGAGATTGTTAATGTAAATTGTGAATATTAAAGGAACAAATATATGTTTCTCTGTGGTTTGTTACAACTGATTATCTTCTCGCCTTAAGCACAACAATTGACTATCCTTCTTATTTTTCTATGTTAATAGTCATTTTATTAGCTCCGTTAAGTACATACTCTAAAAACACTGTCTCTAATTTAAAATCCATGTCTGATGATAGAGAAATATTATAATAATTTAAATGTGTTCATTTTGTTATTAACTTAAAAAAATTGGAAATAACTAACTAAATAAGCAATACTTCTAAATGGAAACTACAATAACAGTTTGTATTATGCATTGTGTGACAATTAATAATAACACGAAGAGAGAAATAAATTAAAGAAATAAGAACCTCCATTTCTTTATCCATTTGCCAATATGACAAAGTTTGATAAAAATGCCTTTTTTTCTCTCTTTCTTTAGCTTATACTTTAATAAAATAGAGGCAAAATTCATGCAATACATATCGTTGGATATCAGCATTTGCAGATTTATTAACACCCTTCATTCTTTGCAAGTTTACATAGAAAATCTTTTATTCGATTTGTTTGTCTTGTACGGCTTGAATAAAAAGGCATAAAAAAAGAGTACTTACGATATATACTATTTGATAGAAGAAAATTTTTAGTAAAATTACAATTGACATCGAACAAATAATTAATAGGTTTGACAGTAACAATTAGAAAAGAACACGTAAGTTGAAAAAATAATACATAAGTTTTTTTAGAAATTTTTAAAAACAATCACTATCTTAAAGCAAATTACTCTGATATTTACTTCAACAACTGTGAATAAACTGAAACATTCAGATTGAATATGCCTAGAGAAAAATTTTGGAGACCAATTTGTGTCATATTTAATTGATCTTCTTTCCATATTTCGTTTAACTAATCTAAGATAACTCGAAAGTCATTGAAATTAAATCTAACTCTCATTCAAGACTTTGTTTTCAAAGTTCGTCTATGTTTACATCGTCTACAGCAGTCTTTACATAAAGTATATTCGTTTTAGATCAATCCTAATGTTCAAAAAGAATGTTAACTACTTGATCTAATCTGTATTAGAAAATGTACAGTCAGAATTATAATATTAAACACCTGATTATAATAAAAATTTTCGTATAAGTAACAAAAAAAAAACAAGAAAGCTTCTATTTCCTGCATTTTACTGCAAATAAGAAACGGCGATGAAGAAATTTATGCACTCAATTAAAAGTATAATATAAAACGAAATTGGACACTCTAGAAAAGTTTTTATTTCTCATTGTATCTAAACACACGACGAATGATTATTATTCAATCTTGCTTTCTTTTGCATTTCTTCTTGCTCTCTGTCTTGAATACACATACACATAATAACAATGTCACTCCATTCTTTTCTAGTGCTTCGTTTTTTTAACAATGGCAGAAGTACTACTTAAATTTGTTTCTATTAAAAATGAGAACATCGATAACAAACATAATTCTATAATTCCATTGTCAACGTCGACGATTAATGGAAAAAAATCGAATATATCCCAAACAGAAAAAAATTCGTTACCATACGTCTTGCCAATTATATCCGTAACAAATGTGTCCAATTTACCAAAACCGAATTTATCTTTTTCAACAACGAACAATAATGATCCTAAACTTCAATATCGTCTTGTACCATTAGGAAACAAAATGTCGTCAGTTGCTATACAAACACCAAAACGACCCAGTTCCAATAAACTTGGACGATCAAACACATTTTCTGTACAACAAAAATTACATACAAAATCATCAAATTTAAATTATCGTCACACACCAATAACAACGACAACGTTTCGACCACCAACTGCTGGTTGGCGGCAAACAACAAACGCATCACCAATACGTCCTCCGTCAACACCATATCTGTATATTGTAAATTCATCAACATCAAATAATCAAATAGTATCTGCTAAACCATTGATACAACGTATTTCTTCTGTGAGACACGACGAGGTGCGCCAACACAGTGAATCAACATTTTCAGATTATTCTCGACCATCGGACTATACTGATCGTATACATTCATCAAATCAAACGGTAGCTCAATATGGACATTTTTTAGCTTATCTAAGGCGAAAATCTGTCGCCAGATTGAGACGAAAACAACAAGGGGACACTGATTCGAATACTGAACGAGATACTAACACAACGTCAGTACATTCAAAACATCAACTGCAACAGGTACCAATAACAATACCACAGCAGAAACTAAAGTCGTGCATATCCCCTACTTTAGCAACTAATTCTAATTCATCGTTTGGTGATTGCATCGTTCCCATTAATAATAACGGGAAAGCATCTTCAACTCCAGTGACAGAACAGCGAAATAGTGCGAAAAAAATCCCAGATAAACCTCCATCAGCTCCATGGCGTTTAGAACTGAGACGAAGTGTATCGTCGGCTATCGATAGTAAATATCATCATAGAAATAATCAAGTTAAACCTTTAATCGAAATGACTAATGGTTTAACTGTAAGTAAAGATACATCGTTAATAACGCCATCAAATTCAATTGTTGATGAACCAGTATCAGAAAAACAGGAGAAGAAGAAGAAGCATGAATCTTGCTATGAACTTCAACTTGCGGGCGATTATTTATCATACGTTTATGTTAGCGATAGCGGGGTCAAATATAAAGGACAATTATTATCATCCGATGAGCTGATGCGAAAAAGCTAATCTTTTTTAGGGCTCAACTGTTTAGACATAAAGTGATAGAAATCTGACTAATTTTTGTATAAAATTTCAAACAGTTCTACTCTTATGTCCCTGTTTTGTAGATGTGATATGGTGCGTAGTTTGCTAATTATTGGTATTTCTTAAATAATAGAGTATATTTTTAATGTAATTCATCGTTTTATTTTATCTAAACCGTTACTATGATTACATTTTACAAGTTTTAGACAGTATCGTTGTTTGATCTCTCATGTGTAATTACTTTGATAAACGTTAGAAAATATTTTCGTTGGATGTTGCTGGTGGTATTTGCCCGTTATCAGTTCGATATTTGTACTGCTAAAAACATTATAAACAGCATAATTCTTTTTATATATTAGGCAAAAGTCAATTGTTTCAGAACTCTATTATTTTAATTCTAAACAGAACATTAGTTAGACTGCGTTTTAAACGTTTAGGTAAAAACTATCGTAGTTACCTGAGCGAGTTGATGAGTTTTTTTAGTCAGCATTCCTATGTCAGCACCAACTAACTCATCAAGTTTCTTTCCTTGAAAATACCAACAAACCATTGGAACATTCGTCTGGAGATAAAACATGTCATAAATTTCGCATTAAGACAACACCATGATAAACAATTGTTTATGTTTAGACGCTTACAATACGAAAACGTTGCGCTAATGATACATTTGCCTCATTATCAACATCAACACGTAGAAAATTGACATGTGGCAAATCTTGATCATAAGACAAATCCAGTATAACTGGAAATAACATTTTTGAACCAATGCTCCAGCAAACGGCAAATAAAACTACATTTAGACGTCGTTCTATCACAGAAGTGTCAAATTCCTCTTCACTGTTGCATACACGCAATGGCATCGAAATAAGAAATTTTCTTTCAAAGAAAAGATTGACAGATAATTAATACTAATAACCGAAACATTATCTCCATAGTAACTACTCTCCTGTTGATCTCTGTTGACATTGAAGCACAATAATCAACATTGCTCACATTTTTATGATATACAATTATTCATAATTAACGCTAAAGAAGTATGATTTAGATTCAACATTGGTGCACGCAGATAGTGTGATAGTTGAAAAGATACTATTGTTGTTTCATAATAAGGCATCACATCATATGAGTGGAAAAAACACAGAAAGAAAAAAAGAAAACTCGCTAGTATGTGTATATTTGTCGTTTAAATAAGTGCAATCTTTAAAACAGTAAACTATGCGAAGATTAGTAATTGATTAAGTAATTGCTCCAAATGTAATGACTTCAAATAAGAATTTATTTTTTTTATTATTCGCTGCAGTTTGTGGTATATTGGTGTTCCCGCTTGTTTTCAAAATATTACAGATATTTCTTGAAAGCTAATTCTACAACAGTAAATCAACTCTATTAATATATTTATTCATCAAAAAATCATGATATATATTATTGATGTTTATTGATGGAGCGTGCTTAGATATAATATTTTCTTCTTTCACTTGTTTATCCTTATTTTAGATCGAAAAATATTTAATGAATGTTCATATAGTCATGTTCAGTCGTCTGTATTGTGAATAAAATGCATCAGTTAGTAGAAAAATTTGACAAATGATCATTCGTCTAATTAAAGATACAGTAGATAGATTCATCTTATTTTCCTTTCAGTAGAGATCAGCCGTGATGAGTAAATTCACTCACTGAACTACAATTATTTTCTTTTAAATTTGACATTTTGTTATTATTTTCTCTAATTACTTTTAAATATTTGAAAGGCCTGGATGTGTTAAGTGATGGATGATATTTAAAACTAAATTTTGAAAAAAGTATGCAAAGATTTATAATTAATGTTATATTTTTTTGATCCAAAAGATTAGAAATATTGTGAACAGATGCCTGCAGAGTAATACAAAATGCCGAGACATAGTTGAGTTTCTCTCTCATTTTATGTTTAAATTTACGCGGTTAAGTTTTTAAAGTTACAAGACTAGCACAGTTAAATATGTTTTCTATCGAGAGCACGCTTACTGATTGACTACAATTTTTACCCTTTTTCTTTGGAATATGATACATTAGAAAATATCATAAGAGTGACGAGAAAAATGCGTCAAGTGTACTCTGTGTGCACTCTAAAAATAGATGCGACTACTAGGAAGACACCTGGAAAAAAATAAAGTTCATGCAGAGTTGGGGAAAAGTACTTTTCGCATTCAGCACACTCGATAACCCAAAACATTTTCTATTTTCGGCAAGAGGTATTGTCAATTATATAGAAAATTTTTTTGAACAAATGGCGGAAAAAAGTTTCCACAGAAAATTAATATTAGTTTCAAAATTTTCCTTGAACTTTTTTCGGGGATACGTCTCGCCAAAAATAGAAAATCTTCTGAGTTATCGAGTGTGCTGAAGACCAAGAGCACTTTTTCCCAACTCTACGTGCACTTTTTTTCTGTCGATGATACGGTCGGTTCCCATTTAGTCACATAATTGAATCTATTTCAAAGACACATTATACAACTATTATAGTAGTCACATCCGTCCGTCTTCTTTTAAGTCTCATGGAAGACACTGGAATCGGTTCCTATTTAGCCGCATTAATGTGTCGGCTCCTTGGAAGTCGCTCTGATGTGCCTTCTGGAAAAGACATTAAAAAAATTTTCTTTCCTGTCGAGAGTTGAACTCGATCTGTTCGCTTACCAGTGGAACAAGTTCACCATTGAAACATCAAGGTACATCAATTATTAGTCTTACTAGTGTCTTACGTTGACGTTTCATGTAGGACTTTGGTTAAAAACTTAAAGCAGAAACACATAGAAGTCGCTAGGACAAAGAAAGATTGCTTTTTTTCTGACAATTTGCTTGTCTCAGACGCCGAAGTTGGAAGTCTTTACTACTTCCTCTAAAATTTCATAAGGCTTCTCACTGATAACTTCTATCCGGTTCTTCTAGAAAGTCAAGAGCTTCGCGTAAACACAGCACACGCAGTACATTTTCTCAAGTCTTCTCAATCTTTATCTAGCGTATCGGGCTAAATCGGAAACAGAGTTAGAAATTTCTTCTACATCTGTAATGAAAATTGAATCCAGATCCGTGTCTTTAAGAAAATATTTGTCCAGCGGTACTGATAGGTAAATCGATATTTTCAAGGCATTCACGAAGATGTGACTACTAAACTTCTTTCTTGTTCCAGCATCTTCCATACAACTACAGTTTGACTGCCATTGTCTACTTGTAGACACACTGAAAACTTATGGAAGACGCAATCTAGTCACATAAAAGATGCTTATCTCGATAGACACATGAGTGACGTTGCATTTTTTTAGAGTGTGATCAATAAATTTTTCTTAGAAACATACTTCACTATACGGCTCGTTCTAATGCTGATCACAAAGGCGATTATAAGTTTTTGACCTCAAAACGGGATATGTATGAGCTTGTAGAGGAAGACTTGCTCTATGACTTGGTGTATATATTGTCGAATCCTAATGTGTACCATCAGACAAAATTAAAAGCAAGCCGTCTTTTTTCCGTCATTACTAAATCTTTTAAAGTTTGTTACTTTACGCTTGAAAAACGCTATGTTTTTACTTTCGAAACTTTTTCTCTCCCATTCAGTACTTAATAAACTTGCGACACAGTCATCCTTGTAGAGTAAAGATTTCTTTACAAAATGAGATGTCTCCCAGCACTCCACCATGTTTTCTGATCGAGATATGATCATTTCACTGGAAGCCTTTGACAAAGTCACATTTGTGATAAAACGTCCAAAATGATCATAACTCGATCATAAAAAAGCCGACAACAAGAGGGCTTACTTTAATTTTGCCTGACGATGCACATTAGGATTTGACAATATATATACTACTGGATAGATCAAGTCTTCCTCTACAAGGTCATATATATCCCATTTTGGGGTCAAATATTACCCCTGAAACTTATAGTCGCCTTTGATACTTTCTTGTACTCAGAGACCTGTTTTGATGAATTTACAGAATTCAAGTTTTCGAAAACATTTACTGATGCAATTATATTATAGATCACATCATATTACCTATATAGAAAAGGTTTCAACAGTAACAGATCAACTTCTTTAGAGCCGTAAAACTTACCGCTTTTTAATTTTTAATGGAAAATTTGAACTTTTATTTTAGTGAAAGTTTTATGGCTCTGAGGAAGTTGATCTGTTACTCTCGAAACCTTTTCTATATAGGTAATATGATGTGATCTATATATGATTGCATCAGTAAATGTTTTCAAAAAACTCGAATTCTGTAAATTCATCAAAAAAGGATCTCTAAGTACAAGAAAGTATCAGATTTGTGATCAGCAAAAATTACTCGTAATAAAGTATTTTTCTAAGAAAAAGCGATTGATTACTTGACGCATTTTTCTCGAAAGTTTTAATTTTAATATACAATAGTTATATAGACAGTTTTTATTGTTAATTCCGATATCTCGATTTAACCTGTCGTTTCTCAAGTATGCATATCTTTTAATAAAATATTTGCCTAACGTTTTTGTTTTAACGTGTATTTATTTTTTTTATATTTCAACCAAGAGTAAAAGATGGTTTATTTATTGCCGTTTAGTGTAGTTTATCATACAACATAAAAAAACCAATCAACGACGTAGGGAAGCATCTGTGTGAACAAAGTGCGCGTCATGTCTTTTTTCCCGACATGCTGATGTTAGATGGAATAAAATTTCTACTCTCTTTTTTACTTGGTGCAAGACAAAGATCGATGATTATTTTTTTTTATCACAATGCATGGAGAGAGAGAGAGAGAGAGAGACATGTATTCGATTCTTGGTTTTTTCTTCAAGTTAAAAGATTATTTAAGAATAAAAAGGTGAGCGGTAAGTGTGAAAGTAATCTTGATTCCTTATAAACTGATGATTCATGAACACCGCTCGACAACGGTGGTTAAGTTCAACTCTAATTCCATTAAAAAGGTGTTCAACTACGCGTTGAAGTGTTTGATTAAGAGTGTGTGTTTCTAAATACTTATCAAACTTAGAATATTTTAGAGATAAAGCCGCGCACTGCATAGAAGAAACTCTATACTAATGAATAATATAATTTAAATATGTATTACTATTCAAAATTGGTAAAAGAATTCTGACTACTCTCGAGAGACTGACCTCCTCCTGTTTGAAATTAATATCAGCATATTTTATAAAAGAGAAGATGCACCTCCGATGTTGCAAATGACAAGACGTAGGTTTTTAACTTTTTGTTCCAACTGATTATGATTAGAAAAGCTTTTGTTATTTTTTTTCATCTTGAATGAGTTGATCAGTGAGTGGGTTGGGTTCATCATATTAATCTTTTCTTCTTTTACCCTTCAGAGTTTGATATAACGAAACAAAATATAGAAGTTGTCAATAATTTATCATTAAGAATAGAAAACATTACAGTTAACTATCAACTCGAACTGTGCTAAAACGAGACTCGAATGATTTTACATTTGTGAATACTTGGAAAAATTTTTCATACGCACTAAATGAGAAAAACCTTGCGATTCGTCAAATGACATCTCATGAGAGAATCAGACGCTGTTCTAGAGTCACATCTGATTAAAAAAGTGTATTGATATTTACCAAAGAAAAAGTTTCTAGACCACTGCTTTCTCTGTCTGATTAACTCTGCCATTGCTGACAAAAGCAATTTTCTAAGATAAACAAGTAGAAAGTAAGTTTCAGTGCAGGTCAAGTAACGGGCTGTTTCGTCTCTACTTTGGTATCCATATATAATCACGCGGAAATACTATATAATAGTTCT